AGCAGGGTTGAACTTTACCATTGCTGAAAATTAACTCAAAATTAAATCAAATCACCAGCAGAAGCACCTGCAACAAAATTATTTCAGAATTATAACTGGATATGAAACAAATCCACGAAACATCACATCCAAAGAGCATAAACACTGCTCAATAATTCGTGAATAACATAAATGAGCCGACGACAGCACTGACCTCAGCTACTGTCATAAAATGGACGCGGCAACGCCGGCTTGCCTCATCTTGTTCAAAATCCTGTTAATCAAGTCGTTCAATTTGTCGATGCCGGTCTCGACTTCCGAATATCAATTTCCATTTCGCGCAGTGCTCCAAAACGGGGCATCGATGGAGGGCAGGACGGTGCGGGGGGGGGGAGGGAAAGGGGGAGGTGGGCAGCTCGGAATTCTTGAGATGGTGGACGGATCCGAAAGGAATTATCGGAATTTCTGGATGTGGAGGAGGAGGCGCGGCGACGGGGCAGGTGGGGGAAAGATGTGGTGGGAAGCGACGCTAGCGGCAGCGGTGGCGGGCGGTGACCGGGGCGGCGAACGAGGAGGCGGCGGCGGCGGGCGTGGAAGTGGGCGGGAGTCAACGATTGCAGGCCTCCCTCTCCCATGGCTGTGTGGAACAAAAGGAAAACCTGCTGTGAGAATTGGTCGGCAAAGGAAATCGAAATGGAGGAAGAAAAAGGCAGGGCTCTGAGTGGAGAAGAAGAGGGGCGGAGCGGCGGTCAACATTTGCGGCGGCAAAAGGGAAAGAAGAGAAAAGGGGGAAAAAAATTAAAGGAAAAAGAAGAAGCAGGTCGATCGTGCATTTTCTGGAAGAAAAGGAAAAAGAAAAGAAAGTTGCACGCTGATTGGTGGATTGAAACGAAGCGGCGCCGTTTCAGATTAAAAGAGGCCAAAAATAAAACGTAGAAAAATAGGGGGGCGAGAATTGGGGGTTATCAACATATATATATACTTAATATATATATATATATATATATATATATATATATATATATATATATATATATATATAGAGAGAGAGAGATATTACTGGATTAATAATGAATTAATTGATACATAATTAGGTTAATTGAAAGTGCATACTTAGAAGAGAGAAAAAAAAAAAGATAGTGTACAGACAGACTTGCATGCATGTGGTATGAATTAATTTATTAAATTTATTTTTCATACCCATATTATTAATAATGATTAATTATATATATAATTGAAAATATATAATATTTTCATACTAATTATACAATTAAATTAGCTGTATCACTTGAGTGGCGCATTTAATTGAAAATATATAATAATTAAATTAATCCTTATCTTTTGTTCAAAACAACCAACATCTTCATGTTCTTCTCTTAAATATATGCCGCCAACAAATTTTTGTATGGCTGTCATCACATTCTTGATTCATTATTGTTTTTATATATTACAAGTCCCATTATTATTTATTATTATAAAGTTATGTCTAGATTATGAATAGTACGTAGTTAAATTATATATAATATAAGAGAAAATTACACATATACTCCTAATGTATGCTAAAATAATTTTAAGGTTCTTGTAGTATAGGTAAAATGACACTCCTAACATTTCTTAAATCCTTATTATTTTATATAAGATTTATAAATTTTCGTCTATTAGAGCAAATATACTGCATATCAGTCCTCAGGATATGAAATCTTGGCTCCGGCAATTGTTTCAGGGACGTGGTTGTAATTACCAATACCACCTTAAAGTTATTTTAGCATACATAAGGGGTGTATGTATAATTTATCCATAATATTATTATATTATAATTATTAAGATTTTGAACATACTACATTGGGCTAAAAATATAACACGATTTGGGTCAAACATTAGCCCATTCCAAACGATCTTATTTTAAACAAAATGGTCTTCACAATCATTCGACTGAGTTAGCCCAGCCCAACCCAACCAAAAACTTTAAAAGTGTACGAGTGCTAAACCTACTATTTTTTCTCATTCAAACACAATAAATATTCGTTTTTCTCGTTAAAGTTAAATCTCTATAAATTAATATACTCGTTACTAACAAAATTTTATTAATTCAGTGAAATATTAGATTATCAACAATAATTTAACACATTGTCACTTAATCGGAATGTCTAGAAATTATTATTTAAGCGAATTTATTAATTTATTGAGAATTAATTTATCGAATTCTGTATACAACAGTTAATTACTAGGAATTAACACTTAGTTTTCATGTTATAAGTTAAACGATTTCTTAATTGAATATAAGAGGTTTTCATGGGACACAAATCAAATTGTGGTGTAGGTAGCAAATTTAAGTTTTAAACTTGTTTAATTTAAGGGTAAGTTAAGAAACTCCTGAGGTAAAATCAAATTGTGAAAATCTCTCTTATATTTGTGTAATTACGAAAACCCCTTCTGACCAGTGTTTGGCCGTTTAAATTCACATAAAATATATCTTGCCCATTCTATTCTTTAATTATGTGAAAAAAAAAAAACCAAGGGTAACTACGAGAACCCCTAAGATAAATTTTAATTACAAAAATCCCCATTATTAAACAAAAAAAAAAAAGGAAAAAACAAATTAAATAAAAAAAAAAAAAAAGGGTGGAAGGAATATTTATTTCCCAATTCATAAGGCAACTAGCAAACCCTTACTCTGGCGGTCCGGCCCTTTTGTCAAAAAAGAAAAGGGAACTCATAATTGGACCATCACTCGCACTCATTCTCCTTCCCGCGTTCAATTCACCGGTCACCCCCTCACTCATCCACCCTACACAACCACCGGATCCACCGGTAACAAAAATCTTTAATTTCTTTCAGACACCCAAAAATCAAAACTATACAAAACGTCTTCACACTACGCAGCTCCACGCGCCATCTCACGCGCTGCCACCATTTAAAGAGAAGAGGGCAGAAATTACTTCAATTCCATTTTCAAATATTTTTCCGTTTCTGAGCAAACAAATTGATGGAGCAGCCGCCGAGCAGTAAAGTAGAAAGCGCCGATGAAATGAAATCAGTGTCGTTGGAGCCGGATCTCAAAGATCCGACCCCTAATCCCGGACCCAAACCTAAACCCGACCCGAATCCCGAAACCGGCGCATTGAAGACCGCGGGAGTTAATGCCGACATCAGTACCAGTGGCAACACCACTGACACTGATTTAAACGAGGAGAAGGGCGGTGGTGGTGCGGCGGATGAGAAGAGCGTCGAATCGACCGCCGAGGGTTTGAAAACGAAGAAATCGGTGCGGTGGAGCCAGGAATTGGTTATGGAATCGCCGGTTCCGAGGGACTCCGACCGCGGATCCAGCAATCCCTACGTTAATTACTCGCCGGCGCCGCCGGATAATTCATCGTCCTTCAATTTCAAAGGTCAGTGTTTCCTTCTATTCCAATTGAAATTAATTTAGGTTTTTGCGTGTGCTTTTCGATTAAACAGATTCCCCTGATTCTATGTCATCATTTATTATTTATAAACACGATAGACCTAAATTGCTGGTGTAAAAACAGGTTTTATCTAAGCTGATTTCGAATAAATTAATTCGATGTATTGAATTTTTCAAGTCGTGTTTTCGATCGCAGAAACTATGGGTAGTGTGAAAGATGTGCTGGGTAAATGGGGGAAGAAGGTAGGAGAAGCTACTCGAAAGGCTGAGGATCTTGCAGGGAATACATGGCAGCACTGTAAGCATTCTCTCTTATTATTCAGTTAATGAATGCGAATAATGCTAAGTGGTTATTCGTCTTTTGCAACTTTCAAACGAAATATGCTAATTAGACGAAAATGGAAATTGCTCGATGGTATTAGGGTTCATAGTTCATGAGAAAGTTCAAAAGTTATTGATACTTATCGAGATTCACGATAGACATGGATGATATTTTTTATGTCAATTGAATTCCGTAAATTTTAGAATCACAAATTTGTAATAATCCACTTTCATGCTTTTAGAAACTGTACTAGGTAAAAACAGATCGTATAAGAAATTCAATTTTATACAGCTATATTGTGCACAATCGCATATAGAAACACAAAGGCGAACCGTTTATACCAATTGTGAACTTCGATTGCTTGTAGTTTAGAATTCCAAATAGAATATACGACCAAACTACAACTAAATTGATGATCATGCATACGGTTACCTACTTACCTCTCTCGGTTGCCAAATTCTGTGGATTAAAATGTATGCAAGAGTCATCCCTTCTCTCTCCATTCTTTCTTAGCTGTTCTCTTGTACTATTTACGAGTATTTCTGAACTATTCTCTTTATGTATATCTTTCTTCTATTATTTATTTATTAATTTATTTACTTTCTTCCTTTATTGACTAAGTGAAAACGAGCCCAAGTTTGGCAGATGCTGCCCTAGGAAGAATCGCGCAAGGAACAAAAGTTCTTGCCGAAGGTGGTTACGAAAAAATATTTCAGCAAACATTCGAGACAGTTCCAGAAGAGATGCTGAAAAATTCATTTGCATGTTATTTATCCACGTCAGCTGGTCCAGTTATGGGAGTGTTGTATGTCTCTACTGCTAAACTTGCGTTTTGTAGTGATAACCCTCTCTCGTACCAAGCTGGCGATAAGACGGAATGGAGTTATTACAAGGTATGTCTTAATTTAATGTGCTTTACACGTATGTTTTTTTTTTAATATATATGTGCTGATGTGATTTTAGATCATGCCAAAGGGTTTTTCATCCTGTGATTTGAATTAGAATATGCAGAAAATATGGTTGATAGAGGAAAACAAGGAATTGGTACTTTCGGGAAAAATCCAATTTTTTCGGAAGTCGTCAGTGAAAAACTAATTCGTTGTGTTCCAAAAAAAAAAATTGGGAAAATAGGAACTCAGAATGAAAAAACTTATTCTGAGATCAGAAATTTCAGAATATAAAATACGTAATAAATCATAAGTATAATTTTCAGAAGAAATCGGAATTTTCGAAACTAATATTGGATTAGAAATCAGAATCTAATATGTATTCCAATTCCATTCCAAGAAAGTCGAACTAATCGGAAATCGGAACTTTCAGAACTCCAAAACTCTATTCCAATTTACACCCTTAACTGTAAATGTGTTACCCTGCTAAGCCTTTAACATGAATCTGAGAGTTGTAAGGACTGAGCAAAGACAAGTGTTGACTGTTTAATGCTGTCTCCAGTTTCGTGCCATTTTTCTAATTTTGATGAAATTCATTACTGTTTAAAAGCTCGTGTTAAGCGACACTAGATTATATACATTATCACTAGCTGGAGATTTACAAAATTTTGATTAACATCGTTTACACTAATAAACAACTTTATCTATCACTTGACTTATCAGTTCGTCAAGTGATTTCTTTCTTCTTTTTTTTTAATTAATCTTATGAGCTATGTAATCTTATTTTGGCAGGTAGTTATCCCATTACATCAACTAAAAGCGGTTAATCCCTCAACAAGTAGGACAAATTCAGCTGAAAAATATATCCAGGTTATATCGGTTGATAACCATGAATTTTGGTACATGGGCTTTTTAAATTATACCGGAGCGGTAGAATGCCTTCAGTATGCTTTACAATCTCGAGACGAACAGTCATCAGTGTGAAAAGGTATGTGTGGTGGATCCCGTTTTTGGCCAACAAGAAATCTGGAACTTTAAATTTTCAACATATCTTATTGAATGTTTGCCCCTTTTATTAAGGATTTCAACTCGTGTTATACATTAAGATTATTACATGTGAAAGAATTTTTCGATCGGACGTAGTACAGGTAACTAAGCTATTATTATCATCAATGTCTTTTTTGCATCTGTGTGCTATTTTTAGCACAAGCTGCATTGCATTGTGTTGTGATGAATATTGCCTTCGTCTTTTGTTTTTCGTATTTTTTCATTTCTGTTGAATTTTATACTTGTTTTGACTTTTTGACTATAAACAAATACATGTGAATATGTGATGGGTTCTCCTCAGATTTATATATATTATTGGGGTTTATTGCATATGGCACCCTTGTGTTTAGTTGAACTGCCAAAAAACTCCCCGTGTTATTTAAATACTAGCTAAAAACCCCTATTATGCAATTTGTTTTAGCAAAGTACCCCCTTAAAACTTGCCATTTAGGGGGTTGTGTGCTCAAAAAATGCATGAGCACTCTCTTATAACCCGCACCTAAAGCTCGTGTAAAGCAACTTGAAGATTTTGCGAGCTTCTATTTAAGTGATGCGCGATATAAAAATATGTTAGACATTATTAAAACCTATTAATAATTGTGCTATAAAATTGGATTGGATTGAATCTGAGGGAGTTGGTGAGAATTTCAAATTTCGTAATAACAAAAATTCATCGACATAGCTTCGATGAATTTGTTTTACAATGAATTAAAAATCTTTACATCTCATATTGAGTTAATTGTTGTGGTGAATTTCAAATTCATTACTTTTTCTATAAAATTCAAATCCTTGTATATAAATTAGGGCAAAATTACGGTCATCCACTGAGATAAGTACGTATTACGAAAAAAAAATTCATGTTTAGATAATTGCAACCACACATCTCAACTATGTCTTGTTTTACGAAAAAATCCCCATCATTCAGTAGGTAAATTTGACACCGTAATAATAGACGTGTAAGATAATATGTAGCTGATGGGGTTGGTTGTAATTACTCAAACATGAGAGTTTTTTTTCGTAATTTGAGGATACATCAGTGGTGATCATAATCATAATTTACCATATAAGTTGAGTTAAGTTTTTTCACACACACACTCCATTACTATGTGAATAGAGAACTTTCCTCTTGGGTGCTAACTTGATGCTTGTGGCTGAAACATTTGAGTATGTCAGCCCAAAGATGGCAGATTTTAGCTTTATATTTATTTAATTAATTAATATATATAAATATATAAATAAAAAATGAAAATAAAAATTGAGTTTTGGTGGCAGAAAAGAGAAAGGGAAGGCTGCTTTTTGCATGTTTTGGGGCAAGCCAATAAATCAGCTATGGCATACCATAGAATCTAATCAAGTACTCTGTTCACTGCCAATATTCACATGCTTCTACAGTTAGTCATTTTTGGAGTAATTAGGCTTCAATTGGTTATGGGCCTCTCATGGAAATAAATTTTTCGATTTTGATTTTGTAACAATATTTTTTCATTTCACGGACTCTAGCAAGTCGGCTCATCGATCTCACGAACTGATTCGGCTCGTTTACACACTTGGTTTAGATTAGAGATTTAGGCAACTGTTTATTGATAGAATTATTGTTTGTAGAATGTAAATTACAAAAATTGTAAAAAATAATTTTTAAGAGGGGCCCAATAGTAATTAGTAGGAAAAAAATAAAATTGGAGGGGCCATGGCCCCCCGCCCTCACATATAACCCCGTTGATGAGAGATCCAATGATCTTGGATTCTTGTCTCTCTTTGTTTGTAGTAACATTCTTAGTTGATGCATAATTTTATTGGGAAAATTATTATAAAACAATGCAATAAAATACTATTAACCGACATTGAGGTAAGGAAGATGGTGTTAAGTTAAAATAATTACAAGGGTAAATTACACCTACACCCCTGATGTATGATTAAATAAATTTAAGGTCCCTGTGGTATCGGTAATTACAGTTACTCCCCCTGAAATTATTGTTAGAAACTGAATAATGCATTCGATAAGTTATTACGTAAGCGTTCTGAGGGAGACAACATAAAGCTGAAAATTATTTAGCAAGATAAATAAATTCGTCACAAAAGAAATTAATGTCAAGATCGATACTAATGGCTAAACAAATCGAACTTTAACGGACGATCGATTGAACACAATATTATAATATTCTCGGAAAAAAATAAAAGGGTGAAAAAAGAAAATTTAAAAGATAAAGTTAAACCTCTTTTGATGATGAATAGAATTTGGGCAAAATAATGTATGCTTCTTGTCTTGTCAAAACTTAGCTGTAATGAAATGAGAAGTTGAATAGAAGAAGCAATAATATAATCTTAGTAATGAATTAATTTTATTTTACATAAGGTAAAAATATGCATTAAATAACAAATACTCTTTTTTTTTTTTTTTTTTTTTTTTGTGAATTCTCTTTATTGAAGACAATGTTAGTTTAATGAGGAAAGTGTAATTTATTATGGTATATATATATATATATATATATATATATATATATATATATATATATATATATATATAATAAGAGTATAGTTTAAAGAGTGTAAAATTTGATTGGGACAAGGTTTTGATAGTTGTAGGGGAATGCAACTTTTCTTTCTATGTCTTGTCACCATCTGGTTTCCCTTTCCCCGCAATTCTCTCACTTTTTAAACCACGCTCAAAAAATTAAAATAAATAACAAATTTATTGATCAATTACAATTAATTTGTCTTTTATTATATTTACTAGTATTTCACCCGTGCGTTGCACGGAGGTCAGTTTCACAATAAGAAAAATAAAGTTATGTAAACGACTATCTCTTTATAACAATACCAATTCAAGGAAAACAAAATGGAAGGAAATAAAAAAACAAACTTTATCTCTTAAGGTCAGTTTCACAATAAGAAAAATAAAGTTATGTAAACGACTATCTCTTTATAACAATACCAATTCAAGGAAAACAAAATGGAAGGAAATAAAAAAACAAACTTTATCTCTTAATTTAGAGTTGTAACATATAAAATTAAGTTATATATTACAAATAAGAAAGCATGAAGCGCGCAAAACACGATATCAAGATTAAGTGAAATCATTTAAAACATATGGTATAACTCTATTTTTTGGATTGCAATCTACTACAACATGTGAATCTTCTGCAAAATAACTAAGGTAACAACACGGAGCAGAGAA